CCACGCATTTTACGAAGCTGAGGATTTCCCTGGGGTTGCCAACCGGGGAGGCAACCAGGGCGGGGACACAGCCCCACACCCAGGCCTGAGCTCTGGAGCAACGTTGTCCCCCAGGGGGGTAAACAGAGGTGTTACGATTGCCATAACTAACAGCTCCAGTGACACCACAACCTCAGCCCCTAGAATGTCTGGCCAGCAGGTCCTTTCCCTGATCGCCATCGTCAGCATAGAGGGCGGCTCTGGGGAGGGCGTGGCTGTACTTCCTACAAGTAAAACCTCAGTCCTCACCGCGGCCAAGGGGCCTTGCCCCTGCTTCCTTCTTTCTTACCCTCTTCTCTTTCTCTTACTTCTTCCCTTTGGTGGAGAAGTAAGTTTCCGTTCGGACCGAGCTCACCCGTATTGGTGAACAATGTCTTTGCCGCAGCAAGGTCCCCTGGGGAGGCGTGTGGGTGGGCTGGGGGATGCTCTCCTGGCCCGGCCCACGGGGGTGCACTCCTCTCCCCAGGGGGTGTATGGGGGGAACCAACGTTGCCCACAGCTGGGGGCCTCCACTCAGGGCCCCCAGGAGGCACGAGCAGGACGTGAAAACCGGGGCCTGATGGCAGTGGAAGGGCCGGCTGGAGGGGAATGTGAGTTCCCAGGCCTGGGCTGTTAGTGAAGCTAACTAACGCCCTCCTCCCTGTAAAAAGCAAACACATCTAAAACAAACAAAAAGATTTATTTGTAAATGAAAGCGGTTCTCATTCAAGGCTGGCCCCGGGAGTTGGGGCGGCAGGCAGGGCTGCGTGTGCGATTGTGCGCACGCACGTGTGGGCTTGGGCTCCCGTTACACGGGGGAGGATGCCTTGGCTGGAGAGGAGGGGGAGGGGAAGTGGGGCGTCTCAGAGGAGGGGGCGACCGGGAGGCGCGGTGGGGGGAAGGGAGTTGGCTTCATGCTGGTACTAGTTTGATTTATCCCTAATGAGTTCTCAGCACATGGCTGCTCCGGGCTCACTCCGGGGGCCAGCGCGGCCTCCCGTGGGCCCCAGCCCGCCCCCGACTCCAGAACAGACGCCACTCGCTCAGAAAAGAGCCAATTTCCACACTGCACAGTCTGCTTCACTCAAGGGGAAATCACATTTCCCTGGGAGAGCCGGAGGCAGCGCTTCACTCCCCAGCCTGGCCGGCTGCCACCGGGTACAGATGCAGAGGAGCTGGGCCCTGACCTCCCTTCTCCCCCCAAACAAAGCCCCACTTCCCCCAGCCCTCGCCCCAAATCTCAGGGCAGCCTCTCAGCAGCTGGGGCTTAGCCTTTGCCGCTCAGCTCAGCGAGAGAAGGAGATAGGGGGACGTCCAGGGGAGGATGCTGCCGGGGCGGGGACCGGCCTTGCTTGCTTCCTCCAGCTTTGTCCAGGAAGCCAGGCACCGGGTTTGGTTTGAGGGGCTTAGAGATGTGGCGATGGGGTTGCTGGTGGTGTGTGTGGGTGCATGCGCTCGAACAGGGAGCAGTAGGGAATCGGGATCTGCCATCAGGAGATAAGGACCTCCAGCATCCGTGTCCCGAGAGCCCCCAAGAGCCAGAGGAGGAGAATAAAGTAATGAGAAGAGTTAAGAAAGCAAGCGGAAGGGATGGAAGGAGGGAGAAATGCTTCCAGCCTCTCCTGAGCAGACACGGGGAAACTCTAAGCCCTCCCGACCATTCACTGCAGACACAAAGGTCTCTCAAAGGAATAATTGTTTCGGACTCAGCAGAAGAGGGACTGCTGAGATTAAAAGAGGCGGGAAAAGGAAAGAGAAAGGTGCGAGGGAAAGAGAGGAGGCGGCCTTTGTGGGCCGGGATGCTTTCATCACAGTCACAGCGGCAGCTGCAGGTAGCAGGCTGGGTCACTCCCTGTCTGCGGGTGTCTCACAAACTGAGGCAGAGGAACAATCAGACCCCTGCCTGCGGTGGAAATGCTTTATGACCCTAAAAGTTGGAGAAGGGGCGGCCTGGGGGGACATTAAGGGTCAAGGAGGCGGCCACATAACTCTGTCCCTCCCTACAAAGTGATGGGAGCCTGAGGTCTCTGCAGAAGCCTGGCCACATCCAGCTACTCAAGGACCTAGATTGGGATGCAGAGTTGGCCTTAGATTAGGGGTCAGGCTGTGGCCCCAGCTCCTCTGAATGACCTTGAAAGATCCAGTCATCTCTTGCTCTCAGTTTCCCCAAGGGCAAAACGGGGCCGATGTTAAGAACTGGAGACACAAGTGGATGGGAATGAGTTTTGTAAACAGACAGAGACTAAGCCTATGGGGGAAGGGTTATTCTATCTTCTGAGGATGGGGGAGTTCAGGGAGGGCCAGGGAGGGAGCTCCAATTCCCCCTGAAGCTCAGGGCACTGACTCGGGACCCCGAGGTCTCCAGCCCCCTTGTCCTGTGCCCACCCCCAAAGGACGAGCCTTAGAAAGACTCTGGTGGGAAAAGTTGTGAGTATTTGGGGAGGGGGCCAGGAGGATGGTGAGGACAGAGGGAGAGGGGAAACCTTCGCAAGCCCCTCACCTTCTCTGGCCTCCTACTTCCCCATCTGTAGACTGTGGCCATGCTCTCCTCTCACCTGAGGTTGTTGTGAGGGTTGATTGTGTGTCTGGCACACGACAGGCAGAAGGTACATGTTTTTTAGTAACAACAAATGCCAAGAATATTGGCGAAGAGACAGGAGGGGCTGGCCTTGGGGCAGGACTCCTAGCTGCCCCTGCCTCCCCCTGCCGCAGGCCATGGGGTAGGGGCCAGAGGGTCACAGCAGCTCCAGTCCACCTTAGAAAGGTGTGTTCTGCCCCACCTGGTGGGCCCAGGTAGGGTTCTAGCTGCTCTGTCTCCCAGCAGGAAACGCACCGCCATGCAGGGGCTGCCTGGCCCACACAGACCGCTGAGCTCCAGGCACCCCGGGCTCTCCTGGCCAATGCCAGGAGGGCAAGGGCCACTGGAGGAGGAAGGGTAGGATGACAGACCGGGGAGTAGGGCCTGGAAAGCTGAGGAAGACTCTCCACACAGGCAGTGAGAGGGATGGTTCCAGGGGGCAATGGGGATGGGGCATGGGGCGGGCGGTGAGGCAGGGCCCTCGCTGCCCTGGGAACGTCTCGGGCCCAGGCTTCGTCCCCAGTTCTCCCACCGACACACGCACTGCTCCCATATACCTTCAGAAAACCCAGGGCCTCGACCCTGCTACAGAGTAAACTACCTCTCCGCCACTTCCCACGCAGCTACCCACGGATACTTCCCACACTCCCCAGCAGGAAAGCCGCTCCCTGTTCATCTGTGCCTCCCAACACCTGTCCTCCCTGCCCTTCCCCTCATACTCTTTCTTCACCACGACCCCGTCATGTACCTCGCCAACTTGTCCCAACACCACCCCTGATGTCAGGGCACCTGAGATCATCTCTCCCCGCAAGCACACAGACGGCTGTATTTTCCAAGCCCCGAAGGGGGACCCGTGGTTTGACTGTGGACGGAGTGTCTGGAGCGCTACTGGCCAGGACCTGCCGCACACTCGCCGACACCTGCTCTGAGCAGAGTGTCCCGGGGGGCTCAGCTCACCTCCGGAAGGAAGGGGAGCGCTGAACCACGGTCAGCCTGCAAAAGCACAGCCCAGGTCCCTTTGTCATTCAGGGCTTGGAGAGGCTGCCAGCGCACCAGGGTCCCCAGAAAGGGTTTGGCTGGGAATAGGAAGGATCGCTCTGCAGGCTCTGGTGGGGCACCATCCACCTCAAGGTGATTCCTGGGTGGGGACTGTCTTAGGGCTCTCAGGAACCCAGATATAATGGGATGCAGTCCTGCCGCCATTGCTCGTGGCTGGAGGAAAATCCTGTTGTTGAAAACTGAGCCTCATCTCAGATCCGCTCAGAAGTCATGGGGACTGGTCTTTGTGGGGGGCCCACTCTGTCTATGCCATCCGCAGCGAGCATTCCTCGCCTCTCCTTTGGGAGGACCAGGGAGGTCAGAGGCCTGTCTCTCAGCCGCTGTCCTCCCAGCCTGGGAGCCCCTGGTTGCGGTGCTAGTGGGGGATGAGGAAGCCCCTCCTCCACCTGACTCAACCTCAGCTGTTATCTGCCTAGCTGTCGGCATTAATCTGGGCATCCTGCCCCCGGCTCCAGCTGGGTCCCTCACGGAGAGGGTCCACGCAGACACCAGGCGGCCGCTGGTGGGCCAGGCACCCTCTTGGGGGCAGAGACCTGGCAGTCACCATTGTGACTTGTCCTCTAAAATTTCACAGAAGGGGGTTGTCCTAAGTCCTTATAGTAGCTCCCTCACCCCTTCCTGGCCTCAGCTTCTTGATTGCACAGTCTTGCCAAATACTTAGGAAACAAACCCCCAAAAATTAAACTCTCGGTGGCAGTCTCAGAACCTCCCTTGGGTCTAGAACCCCCCTGGCATCCCCGATGAGAGCCCTGCGCTGTTGGGTGAAAGTGCTGGACTTAAGGTAAGAGGATTTGATTGAATCTACTACTTCCTGCCTTGGGCAAGTTATTTCATTTTTTTCTGAGCCTCAGTTTCTCCATATGTAAAATAGGGCAAATGGCGGCTTAATTTATGTGAGGCCCCATCCAGCAGAGCCCAGAACTGTCTTCTCCCTTCCCTCCTCTCACACCTCAGGGATCCTAAGAGCTGTTTATGTGGGCTCCAGTGTAGAGCTGTTCCCGGATCTGCCTCCAACCTTCCCGGCGGGTTCTCTGGCTTCCTGTTATTAACAACAGCAACTACCTGTGGGGAGTCTGTGATTGGCCGGGCACTGGGCCACGTGCTTATTTTACGCTCGCATTTACTCAGAGTTGGCACAATCAAAGCTTGGGATACGTGATTTGCCCGGTGCTGAACATGTCTCTGGGGCAGAGGGCGAATGCTAAGTCAGGGGCTCTCTCCCTTGGGCATTCGTGGTCCTCTCAATGCCCGGCCCCAAAGTGAGTTCGCTGGCCACTGGGCTCTGAGGTTCTCTGGAGAAAAAACCCAGTCCTGGGGTGCCTCCTTCCCCAGCCAACCCCAAAGCTGGAGACCAAGAGTAATGGTTTATTGAGTCTTGTGGCAGTGGTGGGTTGTCTTTAAAAAAAAAAAAAAAAGCGTCACGGGGAGAAGCCCGACATGGCAGGGAGACAGTTCACTGAGAGGAAGAGGGCAGCTGGACTCAAGCAGAGCCTCATTTACAGTATTTACAGTCAGGCCTGGGGAGCGGAGGGCAGGAATGGTGGGAGCCAGAGAGGAAACCACCATGGCTGGCTTTGGGGGGTTGTCTTAGGGTCTCTCGGGTAGCTGTGGGCTTGGCAGGGCTGTTGGGAGGGGAGGCGGGTCCCCAGCCATTGTGCCTGGCTCCGCCCTGGGCAGGGCTGCACCCCACCCCCAGGAGCCCGGGGGCTTCGGAATGTCTGTCTCAAGCTGCAATACGCTCACGGATGGAGCGCCTACATTCACCGCAGCAGGTAAAAGGAAGGCGGATGACCACCTTGACCACCGGGCGGAGCTCCTGGTTGGCTGGACCCAGTGTTCAGCCTGTGGGCCAAGAGGGAGAGGAGTGGAAAGCGCCAAGCAAGCTGCCCAGAGAAGGTGGTGCCTCTCCAGGCGGCGGTGCGGCAGAGCCCGCTGTGGCTCGTGGGCTGGACCGAAGCGCTTACAGCCCGCGGCTGCTAGAGCGTGTCGGTGATGGAGCCACAGAGGTGACTCTGTGTGCCCCTGACCCCGTCGTGGGCCCCATGTGCCATCCCTCTCAAGCCTCTGGCTGTCCCCTCTTCTCTCCCCACTTCTCTTCCAATTTTGTCTCTTTGGAACGGGACGGTTCTGTCCCCCTGGGACTCCTGCCCCTCATTAAGGAGTCCTGGAGGACAGCGTGGCCTTCTCCAACGTTGTCCGGTCTCTCATGGTTCATTAAATCAACCACACAGGGAGGGAGCCGTGATGCTGGATTTGTGGTTATTTTTCATGTAATAAATAAAGATTCCTTTGTGTGACTCTCTGGGGCCCGTCCCAGGCCGAGTCCTTCTGTTGCTCAGTCGCTCCCACTGTCCCCATGGCAACTACAGATGGTCAAAGGCCGCGGCAGTGGTAGGTGGCGCGCTTGGCCTTGTTGTGGAACTGTAATAATACGGGGAACCTGGACACGTTCGAAAAAAGAACAACAACACTGCTGGTCAGAAGGGGAAACTGCACCACAGCCTCTCCCTGCCTCTGCCAACCTTTAAGACAGCACAAGTTAATCATTGATCCCCCAGGCCTATCTGATCATCAAAGATTAACTCCTCTCTGGCCCTATTTCCTCCTTCTCTGGCCTCACCTTTGAGTTTCTGGCCAGAAGGAGAACAGTGGCTTCTTGCCCCTCCCGCCATGACTCCTTTGACCTTCAACACCCTTGTATCAGGGAGAGGGCAAGAGAGAGCGGCTACATTTGGAACCCTGAAGAACCAAGTTCACGCGGGGAGATCACTGGGGCTTTCCCCAGCCTTGCCCAAAAGGTGCGAGGTCAGAGGATCTTCTTCTTGGGAAGCAGGGGGATTGGATCCTGACTGGTCGAGGGGGATGCACATTTGAGGGCCTGCACCAGGCAGCTCTGCACACCTGCAGGATGGGCAGCCCAGGAAAGTTCCATGGGAAGGGCATGTCTCAATGCCGTCAGCCTTTCCGGCTACATTGAACAGAAGGGTGGCTTGAACTTATCTGGCAAACAGAACCCAGCTCAGCCAGCCTCCTAGTCATTTCTGGAACATCAGGAGGTAACAGGAGGAGAGGAGGCGTCTTGGGAATGGACGGTCCTGCCAGGCCTGCGACGGCTCCCTTGCGGTTGGCCGTACTGCACTGCAGCTTCTGTCTGGTTCAGGTTTGCTCCAAGACCCTTAAGGCCATCCCTCACGGAGACTCCAGTGGGATCCCTCACGTTCTCCATTAAGGGGCCTGGTTTCCTGAAAAGCTTTTCTACCCAGCCCAGGCCCAGGGGGAGACAGGGGCTGAGGAGCAGCTCTACAGCTCACTCTCTGTTCCTCCTGAAGGCTGTCCATGTCTCAAGCCAAACAGCAGGAATGTGGTGGAACAGAGGATTTCTGTGTAAGGGCTCTGCTCCTGAATCGTGAGTATTTTTGAGTCACTTAGATGGTTAATGTGGGCAACAGGATGGCACTGTTTGCAATCAGGGTGCTCCCCAGCAGAGGGGCAGCTGGCACTCCTGCAGGGCGCCCCTGTGACAGCGTCTGCAGCTGTGGGACTCCAAGTCCCTGAAGGCAGGCAGTCCCCCTCCAAGACTTTTCTGGAGTCCACCCACCACTGCCCTCCCAAAGCCTGAGCCCTGAATCTTACACAAAACAAAAGATTTAATAGACGTGGCCTCAGGATGGAGAAGAGAGACAGTGATGCACGCAAGTCTCTCTTCCTTCTGCCTCTTCTCCCAGGCAACCCGGTACCCTGCCTTCCCTCTATCTGCTCGGATTACGGAAAACACCTGTCTTCCTGGGCCCTCCATCAAACTGGGGCCTCCCAGGTCTCAGGCAACTTTTGGCTCAGCCTTGCACACCCCTCCCCGCAGAGCAGAGGGCCTGGGAGGCCCCAGAGGCAACTTACTCAGCAAGCTGGAGTTGGGGAAGCGCCAGGCCTCGCTGTAGGAGGAGTAGGGGGTGTGGCCATAGGCGTTGCCAGAGTATTCGCTTCCTGTGGGAAGAGAATGTGAGAGACCCATGAGGTGGAGGCACCAATGGAAGGCTGGGGATGGGGGACCAGGGTCTGCAGGGCAGGCATCGAGCAAGTCCTCCTCCATCAGTCCTTCGGGGGCCCCTCAGTCTGCATCATGTGGGGCAGTGCCTTTTCCATCAGGGACTGGAGGTACTGCTCCATCAAGATCAGCCCTCACAGGAACCCCAGGACGCAGATGTTAGTATTGTGCCCATTTTCCAGATGAGGAAACAGAGGCTTGGGGATCTGCAGAAGCTCACACACATGGAGGGTTTGGTGGAATTTGGAAGCTGTGCTGTGACCAGGGCCCAGGTTCTAACCACTTCTGCGGCTGCCTGGACCTTCTGTAAAAAGGTCTTTCCAGGAAGGGCCAATGGGAGTGAGAGGAGTTAGGGGTCATGGAAGGACTCAGTAAGGATAAGCTTTGTAGCCTCCCTAAATATGGTTTGTTAGGGAGGGGCGTGTGTTTGGTGGTGGTGGGGTTGCTGAGGGTGAAGGGAAGGAGAGGGGAGGGCATCTGTGTCCTGGGACTGGCTGCATAGAGATGTTTGCCTCATTTCAAATCTGCCACTGCAAGCAAATTCAGTGCACGATTTACACAAAGCAAATCATATCCCCTCTTTCTGTGAGTGGATTCTTGGCTTCACCAAAGGAATTACTCACCAAAAAAATTACTTAAGAATTCCTTTAAATAACGAAGCAGACCACCGCAAGTACTGCTGGGGCTCGGGACGGAGCGCAAAGTCGGCAAAACACTTTCCCACACAGTAAGCCCCTTTATTCTCATAACCTTCCGACAAAGTGCTCATCAGTAGCGCCAATTTAGAGAAGAGGCAATCGGAGTATAGCACGAGTGAGCAGGGTGCCTCAAATCACACAGTTAGGAGATGGCAGAGCAGAAGTTGACCTGAGGGCTCTTAACTTGAAATTCCAGATCATCCATTTATGTACTTAGGAGACAATTTCATCCACAAAGCCAGGTTTCCGCCAACCCTGAGCTCCGGTGAATCCACACTGCCTTCCAGAATCCGATCTGCTGTTGTGAGCCTCGTGCTTTCTGTGGTTCCTTCCTGATCTCCTTCCCAGAGTCTAGAAGAGAGGCTCGAAGCTGCCTGGCTCTGGGGCTGGCCTGTCTGGAGCCAAATCTCCATGCTCCACTTCCTAGCTGTGCAACCTTGGACAAGTCACCGAACCCCTCTGAGCCTTGGTTTCCTCATCTGTAAAATGGGGCAGATTATTGTCCCTATCTCATGGGGTTTTGCTGAGGATTCAATCTGATAACACACGTCAAATGCTTATGAGCACCATGCTTGGAATATAAGAAGCAGTCAAGAAATGCTAGCTTTTATGATTTTCCCATTAGGTAGGTGCTGAAATAAAGCTCAGTAGAGCTTCACACCAGTCATCCAACCAGTGTTAAAGCCTGAGCTGGGGTCAGTAGGGGCTTCTTCCCTGCCAGAGAAGAAGGCAATTGCACAGCAGGAATGGAAGCAAGGAGGAAGAGCCTGAAGCAGAGGAAGGTTACTGGGTCCTTGTCCGGGGAGTCAGCATAGGCAGTAGTAACAGGAAGTGCCTTAGGGGCGGGGACTAAGTCTAACACAGGTCAGGAGCCCAAGAAATACATGTATAAGAAGGGAGGGAGAAGAAAACCAAAGGGATGAATATAGAAAGACAGAAACTAAGAAATGATCTCATCCAGGGATTTCCCTGGCAGTCCAGTGGTTAAGTCTTCGCCTTCCAATGCAGGGAGTATGGGATTGATCCCTGGTCGGGGAGCTAGCATCCCACATGCCCCGTGGCAAAAAACCCAAAACATAAAACAGAAGCTATATTGTAACAAATTCAATAAAGACTTTAAAAATGGTCACATCAAAGAGAATTTTTTTAAATTAAATATAGTAAAAGGGAAAAGAAATGATCTCATCCAACCATTCATTTCACAAATGAAGAAACTGCTCCCCAGAGAGGGACATTTGCCCAAGGCCACATGCTCCCTTAGGGCCTGCTAGGACCCTAGCCCCCAGTACTTTCTCTTGCATTCACAATGCAGCCTGTCCTGCTTACTGCTGGGTTCAGCGCACCCTGGAAGAAGCCGATTCTACATTGGTTGCCCAGCAACGCCCTCGGGCTTTGACCCCACCTCACCCAATGCCAACCTCAGCGGCTCCAAAGGACAGGAAGAGAGGTGGAAAGTCCAATGTGTTTGCCCTCTCCCTGTGTTACTTCTTCATGCATTCACTCACTCACTTGCTCACTTATTCACTTATCCAACGCACACTTACAGAGTACCTATCTGCTTCGGTCACTTAGAAGTTGGAGTAGGGTACGAGACTCAGGAGGTGGTACACCCCCTGGGTGCAGCATCCTCCCACCATCAGATCTGTCAAGCCCCTTGCAGCCAAAGCAGATGAAATGTCCCTGCACCCATGAAAGGTCAACCCATCCTCTTTGCTCTGCATCCTGCCTCACTCCCCTTTCTGAGGATTTGGTCCCTACAGTTTATCCCTTCTCTTTACTCTTCATCAACGTCTCCCTTTCCAATTCATCACTGCCTTAGCCAGCATACATGCTCTGCCATCTTCTCTTTTAAAAATCCTCTTCTTACCCCACATTCCTCTCCAGCTACCAGCCCTTCTCTGCTCCATGGTCTCTGCCCTCACCTCCTCATTCCCCTCCAATCAGGCCAACGCTGATCTCTTCAGATCTCCGCAACCTCTACCCAGATCACTCCAGTGGTCACTTCCGTGTCCATCACCCCCCCTCAACCTCTTAGCCGACTTTGATTCAGTTCATCACTCCCTCCATGCCTTTGGGTTTCACGATGCCAGTTCCCCTGGTTGGCCTCCTAACCCAAGGGCCTTTCTGACTCACTGGCCTTGCTCGTTCCTTCTCTGCTATGTCTCTGAATGCTGAAGAATCCCAGGGCTGGGTTTGTGAGCCTCCTGTGATTTTCCATTCACATTCTCTTTCTAGTGATCTTGTGTAATCCCTTGGCATTAAATAACAGCTTTGTACAATGGCTGAAATTTATGCCCTAGTCAGGATTCTTTCCTGACTTCAGACACACATCATGTGTCTACTGATGTATTAAACCGGTTATCTAGGTGGTGTCTCAATCCTCATGCGGTCCAATAGAACTCTTGACTTCCACATGCCAAATACTCTACCTCTTCCTCCTCTAACTTCCCACATATATACTTGTCACCACCATCCATGCTGTTTCCCAAGCCCCAAACCAGGGACTCATCCTTGTTTCCCCTGTCATTGAACCCCTACAGCCAGTTCACTAGTAAGTGCTGTTGGCTCTACCACCAAAATCCATCCTCAGTGTCTCTGTTCTCCTCCTTCCCTGCTACCTCCATGGCCCAAACCACTGTTATGTCCTGTATGAACTACTGCAATGGTCCTTCAATTGGTCAGTTGGTCTCTGTGCTTCCTCTTTTGACTGTCTGCAATTTGTTTTCCCAGTGGCCTGGGTAGTTTACAAATTCGACCCATCCACAAACAACATCTCCTCACTCTGCAGTGCTTTTGCCACCCACTCACTGTTCTTGGATATTTCACCCTCTTTCTTTGTGTGATCATGCTAAACTAGTTCCTGCCTTGGGGCCTTTGCACTTGCTGTTCTTTTGGGCTGGGGTCGGTCTGCCCCAGTTTATCACTTGGTTGACCACTTTGAACACCTTCTCAGAGAGGCCTCTCTGGATCACCCAATCTAAAGTAATCTTCTCTCCCTGTGGCTCTGTATTACATCATCCCATTTTATTGTCTTCCAAGTGCTTATCACTCTCTGAAATTATCTTGTTTATTCATTCACTGACTTCTTTACTACACTTCTTTTCTCCACTATTAGGCTGTAAGCTCCATAAATAGAGGGACCTGTCTTGTTCACTGCTATATCCCCAGCATCCCATACCATAGATCCTCAACCACTATTTGTTAAGTGAAAAGTGGCGAATGGATGGTAGGATGCAAGGATGGTTGAGAGGGTGGATAATGGATAGATGAAAGAATGGATACGTGAAAAGATGTATGGAAGGATGGATAGAAGGACGGATGGATGAATGGAAAGGTGGATGGATAGATGGATGGATGATGGAAGGATAGAAGAAGGGATGGATGGATAGAAGGATGGGTAGATGGATGGGTGGAAGGAAGGATGAATAGAAGGATGAATGATAGAAGGATGGAAGGATAGATGACAAGATACACGGATGTATGTAAAACTGTGTGTAAAGATGAATGGATGGAAAGATGGAGAGATGGATGGATGGATCCATCTATCGGAGCTCTCGGTACAGCTCCAGAACTGGTTAGAGGGTCATTAACTGTATCAATGAGACAGGAACAACAGCAACAACGATTAGAAGGCACAAGAGAAGATGAATGGGTAAGAGAAATCTGTGCCCTGGTCTGGTTCCTACGTCGCTCTCCTATAACACATGTCATTATTTCCGGTACGGTGGGAAGAAGCGTGGTGTGTAGTACGCTAGGTTTGAAAGAATGCTAGATTTGAAATCAAAAACGACCCAGCCACTTAGTATGGTTATGAGCCCGAGCGCACTACTTCGCTTTTCTACGCTTGTTTCCTTATCTACATAAAACTAAGATCATACCAGCTTCCCAGTCTTACGGTGAGGATTAAATGAGAAATAAATGTATACCTATGAATGGCCAGGCACACAGAAAGTGCCTGACAAATGATCTCTTCCTTCCTTCCACAATTGATTGAAGAATGTCATTGGTATGCCTTGCTTTGAGCACTTTGTCTGTACCTAGCACACAGTAGGTGCTCAATGAAGGTTTGATTTTAATGGAAGGAATCTCGCTTCAGTCAACTTGGAGATTGTAACCACTGGTAAGAGATGGACACGAATAATTTTTCTATAAAAAAATTCCTTAAGAATTCATTTGCACCATGGAGTTACTGGGAACCAGGGATGCATTTAAATGACATTGTACTTTCTGAAAACTGATTTGCATGTAACTTACTGGGAGCCCATCCACCTTGCCAAGCAAGCCCCCTCTTGGAATTCACTTTGCAGTCCAGGCTGTACTTGTGTTATTTATTTTTTTTCCACAACACCCACTCAGGGTGAGGTCTTTATGGAAACAACCTGGGGGCCTTTGATGAGAGGCCCAAGCCTTCCAGCTACCTCACAGGTCAGACTCTGGGCCCCAGGAACCACCCCTTGCCCTGGGCCTGCCCCCGGGAATGATCCATAATTAAGAGAAAAGCCCTGTGCTTTACATCTCCTCCTCCCCTTCTAAGCAGGCGGCAGGGAAAGGTGGAGAGGTTGGAAGGGGAATGGGGGGAGCCGACTGGAGCCTGGGATTTTGATTGAGAGGCCCCATTATCCACACTCTTAAAAAAATAACCAAATCTTTTCCTTTTTTATCTGGACCAATCTCATTTCACGCTCCAGAAGAGGAAGGGAGGGAGGGAGGGAGTCTGGGGCCAGGAGGGAGAGAGGAGTCAGTATTCTGTATTTTCAACGCTGCATTAAGCACATCGCCACGGTAACCGGGCAGCGACAAGGCCCGCTCAGCGGGTTCCCAGGGAGCGCAGGGCCTCCTTCCCTCCCGCCCTCCTCCTCCCCTCCCTCTGCCCGGGAGAGCCCAGCCCACCTGCCTCGCACAGGGCACCCGAGTGGGTGGCTGGTAAAGAATAACCCCTGCCAGTGGGGGAGGGAAACAGGCCTGGGTGAATGCCTTGAGTCTCTGGAGTCAAAGCCAGAGAGGCTGGTCCAGGGCTGGCAGGAAGGTCACAGATGCCCTGATTGATTCAGAGCCCCTTCCAGAAGCTCCAGGCCCTCAGGCCTCTCTGGGCGGTGCACATGGCTCTCTTCGACCCTATCCATCCTGGGGTCCTTCCTGTATGTTTCCTAAAAGAGTGAGACTCGCCCAAAGAAACTCTCATTGTCTTTGCTTGCCCAAACCTTGATACCCCGGGTCACTGCTGGGTGATGACCACACTGGTGGCTAAAGAGACCCCAGTGACTGGCAGGGAGGATTCCAGGACAGTTAGGTGATGACGGAGAAGTGCTCCCAGCTCGTCTCGCACTTTATGGTACCTTTGGAGCTCTCCGGCCACGGGTCCTGCCCGTGCAGGGTTGAGTGAGTGCGAGGTGTGAAGAAGGTTGTATTTCAACCATCTTCATCGCCATCATCACCAACGCCACGCAAACTCAGATTTTACAGGAAGGGTAAATGGGATTCACCAGAGGGAAATAACTGGGAGACCACGGGTTGCTTGTAGGCTAGGCTTAGGTTTAGCTCACAGTGTTCCGCTGGCCCCCAGCGGCCTCTCCATCAAGGCTCACTGAATCACTGGAAGAAAGGGCAGAGCTCCGATTTGAACACCGGGCTGTCTCAGCCCCTCCCTTTTCATCATGGTGGGTAATACAGGAGCATCTGGGAAGAAGGGGGCTGAGCTGGAGAGAGTTATGGAGCCAGGACTGCACTGATGTCTCTTCTCCAGGCATTTATAAGAAGATACACCTCTCGGTCCACGCTTCCTTGCCCTTCGGGAAGCCTATGCGAGGGGCACAGCTCACCTCTCGTCCTCTCTTGCTCGGCCTGGGGCCACCACTTCCTCTTTGCAATGCTTCCCCTCCTGCCCAGCCCCTCCCCTTACCTGCCACCATGCCTGCGATGGCAGAAGAGGCATAGCTGCCCTGTCCACTGGTGGGGATGTGGGGTGGGTATCCAGGCAGCGTGGGCCCCACCATCTCTCGCCCTGCAAAAATACAGCGAAGTGTCATCAGGTGGGCCACTGTGGGCTCCTGTACTTACTGTCTTGCTCCCCTGGGGCTCAGCAAGCCTTCCCTCTGCCATTCCCGCTCTCTCCCGAGTCCTTCTCCAGACCCACTTCCTCCCCCGCCCTCCTCCTCTGAGCCCAGGCTCCTCTCTCCTTGGCTGGCCTTGACCAGGCCACAGGCTCCACCATGCAGGGTGTCCTGGTTACTGCAGTCCTCTATTGTTCCCTGTTCTCCAATGATTTTATTGACACAAATCTTATTCATCCATAAAGATGTCGTGGTATTGGAGGGAGGCTGAGGGCTATGTCTTCTGGGTCTTTGTGGTCCCCCATGGCATCCGCATAGCAGCCAACACAGCTTGACCTAAATAAATACGTTAGAGGCCACTGGACTCAAAGCTCACATCTCCAGCTCCAAGGAGAGCCGGGAACAAGGCCCTATGAAGGCACGGCAAAGGCGTGGCCTGCGGGCCCATCTCTCTCCTCTTTCAAACCTGTGGCAGATATCGCTCATCAATCACTGCACTCTTTTCTGAGCCAGAGGGAGGTTCCTGCCACTGGACCTGGCCTTTCGGGTGGATACAACCTATCAGGGCTGCAAGAGACGTGAAACATATTGCCTTTTCCTGACCCGGAAAGGAGATGTGGGCTGACAGTGTTTACGCATGCCCATGAGCCACTGACATCTGCCCATGCCAGTCCTGAAAAGAACCATCTCTCTCTTTGTTTATCTATAATTTGTGGGTAATACTCTGGCCTTGGTGACACAGAGGCTGCTCTGTGAAGCCCTGATTTCCCTGGCTTTGCCTCTCCTCGACATCAGGTAGCCAAACCTTCCCATTCTGGAGACCCCACCTGACCTGCTGAGTTTCTCTCCATCTACACCACGTGCCAACAACCACAATGCTTCACCCGTGTCCCTTCTTCCATTGCCCCATGTCCTGCAGGCCCATGAGATTCTGCCTCATCCAAGGACTCTTGGCCAGGTGACAAGGCATCCTGTCCTGCCCAGGTCATGAACCCCGTCCCAACATATTTAGGAATAAGTCCATTCCACTCTCAAAATGCCCCAGTTTGAATGATGAAATTATTGGGTCGTCCTAGCTCTTGGTGACGTTTACAAGGTTTCTGAACCTCAGACCTATCGACACTTGGGAAGAGATAATTCTCTGTGAGGGACTGTCTTGCGCATTGTAGGATGTTGGGTCTACGCACTAGACGCCAGGAGCAGTTCCCACTCAGTGTGACAACCCAAAATGTCTCCAGATATTGTCATATGTCCCCGGGGGGCAAAATCACCTCTGAATGAGAACCTGTGTGTTAGATGATCACCATTACCAGAATGCTTTTACCTTTTCCACACTGGGGGCTACCTTCTCTCCTAGGACTTACATAGGCTCGCTGTGAGCCTCTGTCAGCCAGCTTACCAAGTCCACCCCCTCCATGGCACTGTTTGTCCAACTTTCCTCCCATCCATCCCCCAGAGGTCCTCCATATGTCGGGACCTTCAGGGGGTGCCTAGTAACAACGGGAGGGAAGGTCCCTCGCATGGAACCCTGTAAGTTGTCAATACAGCAGTAACTCCCTCCTTACCTCTATTTCTAGAGGTTCCCTGAAGACAGTTCATTCATTTGACAAATACTGATTGAGTAACTCTGATACCCTAGGCACTTTTCACAGCACTTGGGGATACAGCAGTAAGCAAGAATGCTAAATTAGCAAGGCTAGGCGCTAAGTCATGGTGGCGATAGACTGGGATGGGCATTGGAGCCAAGTCCAAGTCTGGGGGGGTCAACAAACAAGACCAGGCCTACTGGACTTCTGCCCTTCCCCTGAAGGGAAGGGTCTAGGAACCAGAGGACTTTGGTCCTCATTCTGCTTCTACAACTAATTTTCCAAGTGCCCTAGACCAGCCACCTACGTACCCCAAGCCTCAGTTTCTTCACATGCAAAATGGGATAAAAAATAAGAGTAGCCTTACACACCTTATTACTATTACCAGAATGTTATCAGCATAACTCAGAGCTAAGGTGTCATGCCACAGGTGAATACTGATTCGTGCAATGGACACATTCTATAAATTGTTACATGTCAAGGGAAACCTTATAGAATAAATCCTATTGGAAAGGAGCCATCGGTTCATTATTTAAAACTGTGTGAATGTTTTGGTAAGAATGAACAACACCCCCTAATTTCCTAATTTGTTTGAGTATAATGTCCAGCAGTGGTCGGTGCTGGACCAAACAGAAAGGAACCCACTGGAATTCGACAGATGGGTTCAGTTCACTTGACACAGGCCTGAACAAATGAGGGCTTGGCCAAACAGGTGAGGAAAGGGAAATTTCAGTATATTTAGAAGGAGAGGAAGAAGTAGGCAGAAGATATACTAAGGGAAAATCTGATCCTTCTTCGAAAAAGACTGCAATACGATCAGCTCTCAGACTCAGCCCCTTGGACCCTTGGATGAAGCCCCTGGTCAGGTACCAGAGCCCATGAGAGGCAAGGAGTGACATGAAGCCTGTGTGGGCAGGATGAGGACACATGGTGTACGTGACATGAGTAGGAGGGTGATGGAATAGGGTGGTGGCTAATTCGGGCCTGATACCTTTTCCCTTTCCTCTTCCCTCCCTACTTCCGAGAGGGAGACAGACAGACAGACAGACATCTAGGTCCAGATTGTGGCTGAGGAGCGAAGTACTTAATTTTCCTGACCCGCATCTTCCCGTCTGTCTCATGAGGAGCTAGGCTAGATGACACATTATAAACTGGGCTCACCTTAATTAACATTTGACTGATTGGTAGGGGGCTTCCTGGTGCATTGTGTTGAGAAGGATTCTGAGGCTGCATCTGTATCTGCCGTGATTGGGGTTGGTGGTATATCTTGGCTCTCAGGCCACCTATTGGCTAGGGCTGGCCTAGGTGTTCTACAGAGCTCTTTCCGGCCCTGCAGCCCTGTGGTCCCACATTCCCCTTCATTCTACTCTTATCCTGTCCCTTTCCATCACCTGGTCCTGCTGCTTCTTGAGCTTTGCAGCTCAGTGGGCAGAGCACCAGTGTAGAAGCTCCCCTTAAGCCACAATTTAATTTAGTCACAGCTGCCCCCATGAGTCCCGTCCCACGAGAACTAGCTCCCGAACTGCTCTTTGGGAAACTGAATTCACCAGCCTCACTCCCCTGTATTCTGAGATTTTTAATCTTCGTCTCCCCTTAGTCACCTAAATTTCTCCCAGTGGGACGGAGGTTTCTGAATCAGATGTTGGAGCAAACTCCTGAAGGCTTCCTCCCCTGAAGCTTGGCCCCCTTGAAAAGCCTGCTGAGACAGTCTTCAGGACGGCCTTCGCCCGGACTCCGTACCATCAACTTTCCCACCAGTCTCGCAAGACTCTGCTTCAATTCCTTAAATATGTTGTTTTCTCCCAAAGCCAAGAACTTTGCAACCTTCTTAGAAATGAAACCACAGAAGCCATAAGGTGGAGGCACGCTTTCACGGCCTATTTTATGGACTTAATTGATTTTTAAGGCTCTTCACCACAAGTTTATGTTTGGTTTGTAATTCCATCTCCTCTGTACTCAAATATACTTCCAATACAGTCCTATGTTTAAGAAGCTGACACAGACACAGTCGACGTTGACTGGCTGGGAAATGGGGTTTTAGAAGAGAGCGCTAGCACCTCAGAGATACTGGTAAATGTTCTGAATATCGGTAGAGGCCAGGATCAGAGCCAGGACTCGCAGGAATTCTGAGGGTAGAGGTGATTTCAGACCATTTCATCCGCTCCCTTTGATGTCTGCCCTCTCTGTGACCTCTTTTCAACTCCTTATCTTGCCCTGATAGCAAGGAGAATTTATGGCAATCCAGAACTCTCTTTGGCAGGATTAAATATAATTTTGCACAAAAGGATGGAGGCGGGTAACGGGCTCTTTGATGATAAAACCGAAGTCAGGGCTTTCTCGTCAGCTGAGCGGGACTCAGCCCTGGTACAGCCAGGACAAGGACAGCCTCAATACTGCTCTCGGCCAGTGTGCTGGGACCTCATACTGGGGCATCTGACGGGAACTGCGAGTAGAGTTAGGAGAAATCTTCCTGTTCTCCAAACCCTGAGGTTTCTTCTTTCTTGGCTGATTAGGGAGAAGTTGAGACCCAGAAAATACCACCCCAGACATCGCACTAGCAGAGCCGCTGGGCTGGGAGGGGACTTGACCCCGGGGATGCAGGCAAAGACTTGGCGGGAGGTGGCAGGCAAGGTCCATAGGAGCTACTCAGAGGAGAGAGCTGGGAGGGTTCCTGTAGGTGACATTTCATTATGGAATGAAAATGTACCTGGTCCTCCTTTGTCTCCTCTGTCTGCAGCATCATTACCTCGGATTAATTTGGTCTTGACTTCCTTCCATTGTTTTCAAGCTCATCTCTTCCTCCTTTGAATAGGTTTCCAGCCCCCAGACTCTTGAAATCATTCCCCTCCTTTTTTTTTTTTTTTTTGACTGCGCTTCATGGCTTGCGGGATCTTAGTTCCCCAACTAGGGATTGAACTCGGGCCCACAGCAGTGAAAGAGCTAAGTCCTAACCACTGGACTTCCAGGGAACTCCCAGATCATTCCCCTTCCAAGCTGCTTTCTCTCTGCCGTCTCCCCCCAGTCCGCTCACTGTGGCTCAGCCACGTGGGAAGTATTTAGGTCCAATCTTGAGCAGAGGCGGCAGGGGGGACGCTTTTTCAGGAGCTCCAGGCCCACACGTGGGCTCAGCGTGGATACTGCCATCCTAGGCCTTGTGCCTGATCCACAGGGCGGGCCTAGCCCTGTGAACTGAGGCCTTAACTTGCCTCCTGCTCTCGGCAACCTCCTGGACCCAGCCCCCCCAAGCCTGGCCACTGCTTGCTCTTCTCAGAGCCCCTGCCTGTGATTGCATGGTGGCTGGGGATGCTTGAAGCCCTAAAAGGGTGGCAGGGAGGGGAGAAAGCGTGGGAGCTTTGGGGCAGGGACTTTGCACTGAGCTGTCGCAACCACACTTCACACCACCACCCAGGTCTGTGCTCTGATATATCTGCTCCCCGCTGCCCTCTGTCCTTCCCGCTCCTCTCTGGCTGGTCCTGCCAAGCCTCTCCACAGCTCCCACAGTAAGTGAAGAACTTCTCCCCGTGACCGCATGCTTCACCCACACCCTCATCCCTTACCTGCCTCATCCCAGCCCTCCTGGCCCCGGCCCACCATGCACACAAGGCAGGCAGTCTTGCCCGGTGACTAGGCCGGTCCACCCCACAGTGGATGTGAGTCTCTTCTATTCCCCCCTCCCTCCCTCCCCATCCCATTTTCTCTGGCTGACATCACTTCACTCAGCTCACAGTTTGCTTCTTTAATCACTTTGGTCAAAACAAATGACCCATCTCCGCTGACTTCACCCTCTTTTGAAATTCTGCACTGAGTCAACACTTTCCTCCTTGCTTCAGACCCTTAAACATTGCCTCTCTGCCCACACACTGGGCTTCCTTTATGAATCCTTTGCCTCTGTGCCCACCGCTTCTAAGAGGACCTCCCTCATTAGACGCAGGGATGCACAGAGGAAAAAAAAAAATCCTAGGTGCCAGACAGACATAAAACATACAGACAGTTACAAGAAAGGGTCAATGAACTTGAATAAGAGGACCGTGCGGTCCCTCTGGGCGGGCAGAGGTCTGGTTCTTTTGCTGCAGTGGTTTTCAAGACCAAGGGCTTTCCGCAGGCAGAGCCCCTACTTCAGACAGAGCAGCTCTTCGTTTGTCTGGTTTGGATACCTGGTTTCTGTCAAACGTTTCATTTCATGAGAGTGCTGCGAGGTCCAGCAAGTTTGAAAACCACTGGCCCAAAAGGGGCTGGCCCACTCCTGGCTTCCCCCATGGGTCCTGGTTCAATGCCTTGGACCCACATCTGAAACTGTCTCATCTCTGTGGCAGCCCTTCAGATATCTGAAGACTGTTATGGGTCTCTGCCCCCCATCCCTACCCCTCACTCCACCTCAGGCCTTCTCCCTGCCCAAGCCAAACACCTCTGACTTTTTCAGCCACTGCTCAGACCCTGGCTAGACGGGCTGATGTCCTTCTGCCAGGGAGACCCCCCACATGCTGCATGCAGGCGGAGCCCTCACCATGGTCCTATTCAGGGGTCTCGGCCAGGCCCTTCTCTCTGGGCCTGTCGCCCATCAGTGTAAGGAGAGATTTGCTCTAAATGCCCCTAAGATGCTTCCAGTTTTAAATGTTTTGAGTTGGATGAGGTTCCTGATGGGAGGTCCCTGCTCCCCACCTCCCTTGGGTTGGTGAGTCATTCCGCTTGAGTGTCCTCCAAGGGTGACACTCTTAAGCAGGGCACAAGGAGAGTTCCACTATGGAGACCCAACTGGGGCTTACCCTCTGTCTTTAGAAATTTGATCCAGAATTTGGCTCCCAAAGCCAATGCCTTTCTCCCTCCAAAGTTTTCATTTTTCCTTCTTTTGTGTTTTTTACCCAGACCAAGTGTTCAGGGCTTTACGGAGCCTGGCTCCTGGCCTTAGGGTCCCTGCTCTTCCATGGGGCCATGGGTGGAGGTTCTGGAAATCTGCCGGGCACCCCCAGAGTACCTGCCACCCCGACGGCCTGACTCTGCAGGCTCGGAGGGGACACATCTTGGCACCTCCAAAAGTTGCTGGAGGAATCAGGAAGTGGGGTGATGGTGGAGAGGACTGGGGGCCAGAGAGGGGGTTGGACCCACAGCAGGGGACCGGCGTCCGGCCCTGAGGACCCCCCTCCCTCCCCCCACGACGGCTGCACAGCCCGGGACCTCCCTGTCGTACCTGAGAGGAGGGCCTGGCCCGTGAACTGCCCGTACACGGAGGCAGCATGGGGAAAGGCATTGAAGGGCGGGACCGAGGCACCTGCTGGGACCCCGGAGCCGACTTGCTGCAGATCCAAAAAGGCGGAGCTAGATAAAGAGGAAGGGGTGGAGCTAGAACTGGACACCTCGGGGGTTTCCTGCTTTATGGCGAAGGGTGAATGAGGATCTGCCGGAGGGAGGGAGACAACAAGGAGAGAGGGGTGTGAGATGATGGGGTGGGAACATGCACAAACCAAGCCATGAGGTGCGGGATGGGTGCGGCGGCGCGGGGCCGGTGGGCGGGCTCCTCCCTGAGGCTGGGCGTGGAGGGGGGAGGTGGGCGGGGCTACGCGGTGCCCCTCAGGCCGCGGGAGGAGGGGAGGGGCAGCTCTACCTCCCAGCTGTGCCTCTGTGAATGTAGACGCGGCTGCGTGTGCCTCGCGCTGGGGGGCAGGCGGAGGACCGGGGCCGAGGATAGAAGGCGAGACCCTCTCGACCCACCTGGAGGCCCAGCCAGCACAGCCCCCCTCTCCTCTCCAGGCCCGGGGCCGTAACACCTTCCTTCTCTCCATCCGCCAGCTCTGCCCTCCAGCCCATCCTGGCAGCTGGGGCCACATGGCCCAGGAGATTCCGGGCATCGTACCTGCCACCACGGGGTAGGTCTGATGAGTCGAGAGGTTGCGCCCCAAGGGTGTATTGGAAGGGGTCAGGGTGGCCTTCCCGTCGTCGAGGGCGCTGTTGAGCAACGGCAGCGGGTAGAGGCCCTGGTGAGCAAAAAGCAGTCAGTGCACAGAGGCCGTGGGTCGCAGGCCCACCTAGAAACCCCGCAGCCCAGTCTCCCCAGGAAACACTCCCTTCCTCTGTCCCCTCTTCCCGCTCAATCTCGACTCCACCTAGCCGGCTTAATTGGCCCTTGTTCTCTGACTCACAGCCCTTCTGTTTTTCTCCCAGTCCCAGGCTCAGGACCTTCCCTTCTGCAGCCCCGGAATTCAATGCCGGCTGGTCGTGCACAGGCCAGGCACAGAACAGAGCAGCTCCTTCCAAGGACCACGCCCTGCCTGGACCCTGGGCTCCTTCCTGGTCTCCTCACCCTGTCTGGGCCCACAGAGAACAGGATGCAGGGCTGGGGCAGTTGGCACATGAGACCGTTCAGGTTGCTTTGCTCCATTCATTAAGTTATTCTTCTCCAGATCCTCCAAAAATGCAGGCACAGAGAGGTCGAGAAACTTGCCACACTCTCATAGGGGGCAGAGCCAGGATTTAAACCCCAGGGGTCTGGCTCCAGGGCCCATGCTCTCAACCGCTGCTCTGCAGTGGATAACATCATGACCACTTCTTACACTTGCAAAGAGCGGACAATAGATTTTGCCTGTGTTATCCTGATCCGTTGCCCCCAGCAGCCCTGTGACACGGGTGAGCAATATTCTGTCTGTTTTATATGCCGAGAGCCTGAAGCCCAGAGAGGTAAACGTCCCAGGTGCGTATGAGACAGAGACTAAATCGAGGACAGCAGTTCCTGACCCAGGCATTTTCTCCTTCAATAAAATGACACACCCGATACCCCAGCAGAATAGGTGGATTTCCGTCCCCCCGCCCCATATCCAAGCAAATATAAATGTGCACACTCAGCTTGAAGATTATAGGGGTTAATTTTTTTAAAAAAATTCTTTATCAGGTACCTGGGGATTTTCTTAGTTCTGACCTCAGTTTAGATTTCACTCGGCCTCCCCTAACATGAGCAGACCATCTCGTAAGGTGGCCTCCAAGAAGAACTTGTTCAATTAAAGGCAAGGGTACATCACCCCTCACCATGACTCCCTCCCACCAGGGCACGAGACAGCACACACCTGCTCCCCGTACGTGGATCACGCACGTCACAAATGCAGTATGTGAACTAGTGTGCAGAACTGAAATCAAGGCTGGCTCCGTGGTTACATAACGGCTCCTCTAAAGGCAATCGCTTTCAATGATTCCCATCGAGCTGGGCTCTCCGAGGAGCCGTAGCGGTTTCTGGTTGTGTGCCAGGCACTTCTGAAAGCTGCAGTAAATTCTGGAGGCCACAAGGGCACCATCATCATGTAGCAGCAATTACTGACTAAATGGCGCTCTGGTTCCATGCCTTGCGAGGGGGCTTCCTGCTTTCTAGGCAGGATGGAGTTGCTTAGAGCCCGGCTTAATGAAATTGAACAAGATGCCTAATTTCTCGAGAGTGTAAGAAAAGTTTAAAATGCTTTATGGATATGTTGATTTGATACCAAATGCTTTCTCAAAATCCTATAACTTTCTAAAATTTAGGCAATTCAGTGAAAGACAAACCAACCTATATAGTCAGACATTTCGGTGATGTTGCACTGAATGGCTCAAACATCCCCATGATGACTGGGTTTCTTACTGGGATTGAACTTGAATTGGGGTGCAGAGGGCACAGTGCTTTAGGACTTGGGCGAGTCTGAGCCCTGGATCTGCAAGGACCAGCCAAGTAGCTTTAGTCTCCTTGACCTCTCAGAGGCTTGGCTTTCTCACCTGTATAACAGGGATAATAGAATCTGCTTCACAAGGCTGATGTAAGGATTAAATGAGATTTTATATACCTACATTAAATGCTTAGCCCAGAATGCTTGGTAACACAAATGCTCAGTAAATAGATATTTCAGAGTTACGTGAAGAGTCATAAGCTCCCCAATTCTTGAGTCTCTGTCTTCATAATATTCACATTCTGTTGATAAATCTGCTTCTTGCACTTGTAAAATAGAGGAACAAGGGCTGTGCAGACGCCTAACTACGCCGGGTGGTAAACAGCAACCAGAAATGAGGCCACACGACGTTTCTGTTGAATGCTTTGCCCCTTGTTGACTTTACAGAAGAGATGGCCATGTCTTCGCCCCATCCTGAGGTCAGGTGTGAGGACCTGTGCTTCTCTCCTGGCTCCCTAGGCCGGAGGGCCTTCCTGTGCCCAGTGAGGATACACGGAGTCTTCCTTCAGCAGTGCTGACGGCACCAAGGGCGGGAAAGGTAAGGAGCCCCCGGCACAGGCTGGGTTCTCCCTGCCGCTCACCACCGAGCAGGGGAATGAATGAGGGAGTAGATGACTGGCTGAGGGAGGGAATGAATCAATTATGGACACGGCTAAGCCTCTGTCTCCTTATCTGTAAGGTGAGGGGTTGGAGTAGTTCCATGGTTTTCAGGCTCTCTTTTTCCAGTCTTCAAATAAGAACTCACATAGGAGCATCGTATTTAAAGCAGGTGAAGTGAACGGATCTGAATGAAACCAGGGCCGGCAGGTCTGAGCTCCACAACCATTCGCTTCCTCAAGCCCTCTCTACCTTCTCTGGCCCTGGGTCATCTCCACACAAATGGAGAGACTGGACTGGGTGGGCCCTGCGGTCCCCCTGGCTCAAGACTCTCCATTGCATGACTCCCCGTGTACGTATGCCAGCTTGGTGCTGGGTCTCGGGGCTCCTTGTAATCAAGCAGGGCCCCTTGTGGGGCTCAGGAACAGAGCCAGGAAATGGCTCTGCGGCCCAGCGGGTCTCAGCAGCAGGGTTTCTCTACTCTACCAGGACGCGGGTTTGTGCAGGCTCCGTCTCACACAGCGGGTTCCCGCAGGCCCGCCGCTGTGGCCCCATTCGGCTCCCCCACTCCCGCCCCGCCCTGCCCCGGGAGCCAGGTGCTGCCTTGCGGCTGAGCGCCCGGGCCCTCTCCCCAGGTCTGCTGACGGCCAGCCTTCTCTGCAGCCCTCCTGGTTGCTACAGCCCGGGCTGATAAAATCGCTGACGCAGAATGCCTGCCCAGCTGCGTTGCTGGCATCGGCCCAGCAGCCCAGACGGTCACTGGCAATGGCTCAGCTGACTATTGGCATTGTCACCATTGGCCTACTCAGATCTTAAAGACGTACGGGCACGCCTCACTCCTAGATCCGATGACAGCGTGTGCAGAGAGGGGTGAGCAGACACCGGCCCAGAGAATCCTCAGCTGGTTGACCAGGTGGGGTGAGGTAGGGAGACACTGCAACTGCAGTGTTGATAAAAGATCATGAACTGAGAGGCCAGCGGGCCTGGAAGTTCGGACAGAGGTGTGGAGTCTTTGTTGGGCTCTGCGGGAGACCTCGGACATCTCTGCCAGCTTTTCACAGAAGCCAACCCACGATAAGCCATTTCACCTGCCCTGAGCACCGGAAATAAAACTTCCCTTGTAGCTTGTAGTTTATTGCGCTGGATTTCTCAAGGCATTCACTCAATCTGCCTTTATTGAGCATCTGTTATAAGAGGGGCGCAATGTTAGGTGCTGGAGACAAAAAAAGATGTTTTGAGATGCTGCCCTGTCCTTAAGAAATCTGCTGTGTCTTTACATCTCTGTCCGCTAGGCAATTACACTACCCCGTGAGTCCTGGGGAGCAGCCACCCGGACGTGCAGAAGCAGGGGTGCGGGCGAGATGAAGCGTGTCTGAGGAGCGAGGAAGGATTCGTGGACCAGGTGATGCTTGAGCTGAGTCATAATGGCCGAGTGGTATTTTTCCAGGCAGAGAAGTGGGAGGAAAGGCATTCTGCGAGGAGGGCACACCGTGTGCTGGGGTAGAGGGGTGTGAACAAGGCTCACGGGGTGGGCAGGCGTGAGTGGCCCGAGGCGGGGCTGGAGCTGCTGGTAGAGGTCACGCTGTAGAGGCCGGAGCTGCGGCTTTATTGCGTGGGACCTGACCCCGCCGTCTAGGGGAGTCACCGCGGCAGGGGCATGGCATGGTTGGCTGCATTGCCCTAAGCTCAGAGGCTGTGGGTGAGGGAAGGCAACAGAGCCGGGAGGATGAAGAGGAAGAAGCTAGCGTCTGGTGAAACAAAGCCTGGGACGGCCTTGGAGCTGCAGGAAGCACGCCCCTGAGCCCATCAAGCAACTCCTAGCTGCTTCCAGGGCCGCAGGCTGATTAGGGAGCTTTCAGAGCCCGTGCCTCCCCCCGCCCGCACCCCGCTGTCTGCTAACCTCCCACGCCCGGCTGGCCCCTCACCTGCTCGCCTTTGGTGTGGCTGGGGGAGACATAGGCCTCTGGGTACTGCTGCCGATCAAAAGGGCACTCAAGCGGCTCAAGGTGGTGCTGGCTGAAGGCGTCCGTGCGAAGGTGCTTGCGGGGCCCACTGCCGCTGCTCTGGGAGTCAAGGCTCAGCCGACAGCTGTCCTGGTCACCTGGCGGGTGTCCCCAGGCAGGGAGAAAGCTTTCAGGGGCCCGTCCACCCATCCCCCAGGCCCGAGCTGGGGAGCAGACTCGCTTCAGGGGAGGGAAAGGACCAGGCTCCCGGGCCTCAGGGTGGCTTAGAGACAGGCCCGAAAGCCCTGGGCCGCAGGGGGCTTGTGTCCCATCAGAGCCTCAGCAAAATGCCCTCCTGCGCCCCCAGCCTGCCCTCTGGTTCCCACAACACTCACTGTCGTCCAGTTTCCTCTTGCTGTCGCTGCCAGGCTGCGCGATCCCCAGGAGCCCAGTGATGGAGTAGGTTGAACCCAGAGAATCGGACTGGGGAGACTCTGGGGGCGTCACAGCTGAGCTGGGGACTGCAGTGGGGCGAGACGGAGGGTCAGGACGTGAAACTGACACCCCTCAGAGCCCCTGCTGCCACCGTGGAGGGGTCAGCGGCACCGCTGGTGCCAGGGTTCTTGCCTGAGGTGGTTCCACCCCTGAATATTTCAGAGCAAGGCTGTGTCCCGACAGAAGGGCTCAGTCTACACACCTGGTGTGTCTGTGTGGACGTGTTTGTATGTGACTCTGGGTGTGTACACAGATGGATGTGTGTGTGCAAGGGGCTGGGTGTGCCTGTGGGACCCTCGGTACTCACTCAGCGTGTGTCCTGGGCTCAGGGACTTGGTGGCCACGCAGCCGTCCATAGGAAGGTTGAATGGTTGCTGCACTTTGGTCCGGATGATTCTGTAAGGAAGACAAGAAAGGCCCTTAGCAGAGAAGGAAACAGGGCTCCTGGATGCCCCAGATCCAGTTGCCTTTTTGAGATCCCACTTGGGTATCTAAAGGCACCTCAGGGCTTCCCTGGTGGCACAATGGTTGAGAGTCCGCCTGCCGATGCAGGGGACGTGGGTCTGCGCCCCGGTCCGGGAAGTTCCCACGTGCCGCGGAGCGGCTGGGCCCGTGGGCCATGGCCGCTGAGCCTGCGCGTCCGGAGCCTGTGCTCCGCAACGGGAGAGGCCACAACAGTGAGAGGCCCATGTGCCGCAAAAAAAAAAAAAAAAAGGCACCTCAAACTCAGCCTGTCCACACTCAAACCCAAGACTTTACTCCTCATGCCTGGTCCTTCGCACTGTTCCCATTTCACGATTAGTCCCCCTGGTCATTCAAGGCATAAATGCACGTGGGGCTCAGTGTCTGCCTCCCTCCCTCCTCCATCGAGCCCGTCATCAGGTTCTGTGGGTTTGACCTTGTAAATCTCTCCAGCATCCATCCCTCTCTGCGTCCCTCACTGCCAGCACCAAACTCTCCCTCCAGGGTCACTCGCTGGCCCACCCCTCTCTGCTCTTGACCCTTTCTAATCTTTTCTTTCTATTGCAGCCAGAGTGGACTTTCTGAAATGCAAGTCAGCCTCGGGCTTAACATCTGCCAAGGTTCTTCCCATTGCTTCTGGGTCAGAGGCAAGAATACGCTGCACGGTCACCAGCCTCTGAACTGCAGCCTTTTCTTCACATCTCCACCTCAGCCGACTTCATGCTCCCCTTCCCTCCACCTACTGGCTTTCTTTCAGCTTCTTGTATGAGATCCTATTCGCCACAGGGCCTTTGCACGTGCTGTCTCAGAGCTCCTTTCACCACCCCCACCCCCCCCAGCCTTTCCCCTAGTTAACTCTTATTAGTTTTTTCTTACTCCAGGCATCTTTTCAGAACCTCCCTAAACAAAGTCACCCTCTGCCAGCTCAACACCCTCATTTCTCTCCTTAGCCAAACTTAGAGCTGCTTTTCTTACAGCTGTTTGCACGGGCGCTTGATTAGGACTCGATTAGTGTGTTTTCCCACTGGACTGTAAGCACCACATGGGCAAGGATTGTGTGCCCCCAGGGCCTACACGTGAGTGACTTACGTGTGAATGAATGAGTGAGTGAGCAAGTGAATGAATGATTGAATGACTAAACAAATGAGTGGGTGTTTGGATGAGGGCCCAGTTAGGGGGTCCTGTGCCTCGCTAAAGAAAGGATCAATGCAAGAGGAAGTTTCTTTTACTGAATGAAAGCGCATGTGGTGTGTAGGGAAGGAGACTGCGGTGGGTACAGTCTGGGTTGGGGACGGGGTGAGAGGGCGGTGCGGTGAGGAGAGGGGTGAGGGGGGGGGATGCCCCATGGCAGTGAGGAGGCTGGAGGGGGTGGTGCCTGGCCTGGACCCGGGGCACTTCCGGCCTGACTCTTCAGCATGCGGCCCCTTCCCAGGCTCCGTTCCACTCAAGCCAGGTCTCCGTCACGATTCCCCCAAAGCCCGGGTTCCCCGGCCCCTGGCTGCAGTGTCCCTCTCACCTGTTGATGGAGCTGACACTGGGCACAGTGTCGTTGTCACAGACGCCCTCGGCCAGGAGCCGGTCTCGGATCTCCCAGGCAAACATGGTCGGGTTCTGCCGTTTGTAGTCCCCGATCTTCTCCACCACCTTGGGGGTGGCCACCTTGGGCTTCGAGCCCCCTATCACTCCAGGCCGGATGCTGCCAGTCTCGTAGTACCTACTCCAATAGAGAACCCCAAAGAAGTACCCAGTAAGCAGGTGGGGTCTTCGGGCAGGAACTTAGCCAGAGACTCTCGTTCCCCTCCGAGGCTTCTGGGGAGGGGCCGGGGGGTTGAATCGTGCCCCCAGGGCCGGCCTCCAACACGATGTTCCCGGCACTGCCTGTTTCCCTTGCATGGGTAGGTTTCTGCTGCTGCCAAACCAGAACTCTCTTCAATAGACCTCGCCCAGGGATACCTGGCTTCTCTCTTTCCCGTCGTCCCTCTGGCCAGTCTCCTGCGTCTGAGCACCTGCGAGAGCCACCTTACGGGGCACAAAACACCTCCCTTCTTAGAAAGGGCACTTTGACGAATGTGCTCTGCGGGTACATACAGGTTCCCAGCGGCGGTTTGCTCTGTCCAGCTGTTCTTGGCTGAAGCAGGACTTACTGTTCCCCTTGGCCATCCTGGTTTTACCCCTCCCTCCCCAGGAAGCCAGCGGGGGTCACTGGGCCCTCTGCCCTGTCTTGCTGGCTTCACCTTTGTTCTCCATAAAACCCCTCCACCCCTCCACCCCACCCCATACCCCCAGCCACTGGTTTCCCACCAGGTTACACAGTTCAGGTTGAAGCTGCTCCTCATGGACTCTGGAACCCCAGTCTGGCCTGGAGCCCTGGCCACGTCCAGCTCCCTGAAGCTGAGCCTATTCTCCCAGGGTCTCCACTCCCCTTCCCCGCATCCCTCAGCAGGATAGCCTGCCTCCCCTCCTTGGGGAAACTCTGGTCTCTTCTGCCATGAAATAAAATCTGTCTCTTTAACACTCCCTTTATGGGCTTCCCTAGGGGCGCAGTGGTTGAGAATCTGCCTGCTAATGCAGGGGACACGGGTTCGAGCCCTGGTCTGGGAGGATCCCACATGCCGCGGAGCAACTGGGCCCGTGAGCCACAGTTACTGAGCCTGCGTGCCTGGAGCCTGTGCTCCGCAACAAGAGAGGCTGCGATAGTGAGAGGCCCGCGCACCGCGATAAAGAGTGGCCCCCGCTCGCCCCCACTAGAGAAAGCCCTCGCACAGAAACGAAGACGCAACACAGCAAAAATAATTAATAAACTCCTACCCCCAACATCTTCTTTAAAAACAAAACTAAACAAAAAACTCCCTTTATGTGTCACCACCCTCCTGCGCTCATCCCCTTCGTGGGGTACTGCAGCCCATCTTGGGAACGCATCTCCTGACCCCAGCCTGGGACCACGCTTTTCCCTGACAACTTCGGCCCGGAAAGCAGGGCTTTCCACGTTCAATTACAGATCAGGCTTTGGTCTTTTTGAACCAGAACTCCTCCTGAATCCACTTACAGGTTGGGTAAGGGAGACGGGTACACCGCGCTGACACGAAGCCCCGAATCCCCCACGTGTGGGCACTTCCCACCCGAAGTGGCCCTCCAGACTGGACTACGTGGCTGCGTCGGTCCAGAGCTTCGCTGCTTCTGGTCCCTCCTGAACCTTTGGGTTAGCAGTTCTTTTTTTTTTTTTTTTTTTTTTGGCTCGCGGGCCCCTCCTTTTTGTGGCTTCTCCCGTTGCGGAGCACAGGCTCCGGATGCGCAGGCTCAGCGGCCACGGCTCACGGGCCCAGCTGCTCCGCGGCATGCGGGATCTTCCCGGACCAGGGCACGAACCCGTGTCCCCTGCATCGGCAGGCGGACTCTCAACCACTGAGCCACCAGGGAAGCCCAGGGTTAGCAGTTCTTAACTCTGGTTGCAGGAAATTAGAATCACTCGAGGAGGGCTTAACACTATACCGAAACTTGGACTCATTCCCCGAAAGTTCTGCCTTAACTGGGGTGGGCTGGGGCCTAGACATCAATTTCTTTTTCAGATTAAGATTCCGCAGGTGACTCTACCGTGCGGCCAGGGCTGTGAACTGCTGCTCTAAAGTTAGTGTCCGTAAGTGTCACCTGGTCATCTCATAAAAATCACAGCGTCCGGGCCTGGCTCCCAGAGAGGCTGCTGTAGGCCTGGCCTGGGGCTTAGGGATCTGCATTTCCTCAAGCAACCCCGGTGCTTCTGTGGCAGGTACTCTGGGAGTTACGGTTTGAGAAACACACAAACTCAGGCGTCCCTCAAGCTGGGGTTAGACCTCGGGAGTCAACTCTGATCGTGTGTCCCCTCCCCAGTGGCTCCCTTCCCTTGGTCTCAGCAGGGGGAGGGCCTTTGGGGAAGATTCTTCTGCTTTAGGAACAAAGAAGTCTATAGAAAATGGGACATGGGGCAAAGGAGACCACGGGGGAGGGAGAAATGAAAGGAAGGAGAAATGGACAAATGAGGAAGGAAGGGCAGGAAACCACAGAAGGCAGCAGATGGGGGAAGCCCAGAAGCACCACCACATCCTGTTCAGGTCCTGTTGAGGGGCCCAAGCAGGACACCCCACGAGTCCCTGAAAGGGAGGGTGGTGAGGGGTGAATTTCGTGCTTACCTGCCAAGGATCTTGCTGACACAGCCATGGCTGACTCGGAGCTGGCGGGAGATGTCGCAGGGCCTCACGCCCTGGTGGGCCAGGTCCACGATGCGCTGACGCACCACTTCGGGCAGGGGTCTGCCATTCACAAAGGCCCCTCCCAGCTGGTTCAGCCCTCCGTGGCCTGAAACACAATAGTCCGGGGGACAGTTGTCAGGGCCACCAGGCAGAGAATCGGCCTGCGTGTGGACATTGGATGTTGAGAGCCCCTGAACTTGAACTCCCACCGTTGGGCACCCCCTCTGGTGTTCCCGCTGCACCCCGTCCTGCTTCCCACCTCTGAGGAGGGCTAGGTCGGGTTGGCAGGGTGAGGGGCATGTATGATGCCACAGAGGTGGGACATCCCGCTTTGGGGACCTTTTGGGGGGTCTCCTCTCAGACCCTCAGCACCTCACTCCAAATAACAACCCCAACACCTCCCTCCCTCCCTCTAGAAAGTATCTAAAGAGTTGAGGATTCAGGCTTTTCCTACTCTGATACTGAGCTGTGTGACCTTGGGGAAAATCCCCCTGTCCTCTCTGCGTCTCTGTTCCTCATCTATAAAATGAGGGGGTAGGATGAAATCAGTGGTATTTAAGTTTCTCATTCTCGTTCTTCTTTTGAACCATAGGGCCGGATTTTTAAGCACAATCACGTTGAGAAACACAGACACAAAACTTAAATAAAAGGAGAGCTTCTCTGGTTGAGCATGGACAGAGCGGGCCCTGTCCGTGGGTTCCCGGCCTGAATGGCCCGAGCTCTGCTAGGGGCACTGAAAGGGCGAAGGCAGAGACCTCACTGGCCCACGTTCCAGGGCTTCCAGGGCTTCCAGGACTGACATGTCGGGCTGTGGGCAGTGGTGCAGAACGTGGACATGCCGTGATGTGCGCCTTTCTCGTTAGCTGCCTTCCTGACTCGGCCTCTACCCTCTGGCCCCAGCCTGTGTTTCATTCTCAGCCCATCCACCTATTCAACACATATTTATTGAGTGCGTACTACATGCCAAACGCTGCACCAGGCCCTGCAGGTGTCGAGGTGAATAATGCAGATGTGATCCCTGCTCTGGGCTCATAGGGTTCAAGTGAGGATCTAGACCGGCCGATGACCATACCACATGGTCACTGCTGGGACCGGGGACATGCAGGGGGTTATGGGAACCCCTGGAGGGGACCAAGCCCAGGCTCAGGGGACCATAGATGGGTTTCTGAAGAAGTCTAAGTGGAGACTGAAGATAAAGAGACGTCAGACTAGAGAAGGACATGAGGAGGAAAACTGTTCCAGGCAGTGGGAACAGCATGTGCAAAGGCTTAGAGGCAAGAAGGTGTCTGTTCGATTTATCAACATACTTAACTCTCTAAAATCCCTAGATACAGGTTGGGCTAACTTCAGGCCTGAGATCTTCCTTTTGCCAATGAGGAGACTGGGGCTTAGAGATTTTCACTGACAATTGATGTGACTCAGCTTATATGAGGGAGAGCCAGGATCTAACCAGGGATTAAGGCTCCCATCAGAGCTGCTGGGTGAGCCCCACTCTATGGCCAGAACTGACCCAGGAAGCTTGGCACCAGCTGTGCAGTTCCACACTGGAGGTGCCACTGCCCGGGAGCCGAGGGCATCTTTTCACACCAGGGGCATGATTTGGTGATCTGGGATGGCAGAGCCCCTGGGGTGGGAGTCAGGGGGAGCGGGCAGGGCAGGAGGAAGAGCCAATGCCAGGCTTTCTGCGTCAGCCCGTTAAGGGCTATTTACAGCCGAGGGTGGGATGTACCTCTGCTAGGCACACCGTGCCCATTACAGCCCACTGACGTAGCACGTTCAAAACTGCCCCTGCAATGTCTCCTCAGGGGCCCAAGCTGTTTTCAGCAGAGCAGTGAATATCTGTTTTTTTGTTGCTTTTTTAAAAAAGAGTCTATAAGCGCCTCTGGCCTGGGCACTAAGTCCAGAGGAAAAGCCCGCTGGCCAAACACCCAGCAGGAGGGACACAATGATCCATCTCCCTGGTGGAGACAATTGGGTGACCTTGGGCACTGCTTCCACCTGTCCCGTTCTAGGCAGCTTGTCCTAGCAAGTGTGCTTCCACCAGGGCTGGGAACACATCCCAGATGGTCAGCGGAGGGGGCTGCATCCACTCCTGAGCCCGCTCCTCTGGCTTCTCACTGGCCACAGGCTGTCGGTGGAAAATAGCTCAGCCATTTGACACTCCATCCGTGCTGCTTTTCGGCTCTTTTGGGTCCAGACACTGAACACAAGGGGGCGCCAGACAGCCACCCAAACAGACAAGGCCTCCCAGCTTTGTCCCCATTTTCCAGGATTTAGGCTCCCACGTGATCCACGGAGCTTAGATGTTGTGCTAGGTTCTCTATATCTAGAAACGAGGGTTCCTACAGGTGGAGTTCTTCACCCCTAGAAAGGTAATAGGTTTAAAAAACCAAACGCCATTTCTTGGTGGCATGAACTGGGAATTGTGCCTAAAAACAAATCTACCCTGTTTCTCCATTGAAGCATGCGGGCCATCGTCCTAAATCTTCCTGAAGGGCTGATCAGGATCCTTAGAAACCCAAACTCTGAGGAACCCTCCTGAAAGGTTATTTACTAGATCAACCAGGGAAAGATGTATTCATAGCTCTGGTTCCTAAACTGTGAAGTCTCTGGTGCTTTATTTTATTTTATTGGCTTCTAAGTTCTTTGTGTTACTGTGCAAAGGGCGTTGGGTCGGACTCCTGTGTTGACTCTACCTGTTCTAATTTTTTTTTTTCACTAGTTTCTTTTATTCTGTAAAGTTGCTTAAATTCTTCTAAAAAATTCTTTAAATCCCCTTTTGAGGAGTAATTTCTTTTTTTCGCCAAGGCTGCTGCTGCTTCTTCTTAATTTGTTTATCCCTCCACATATATATATTTTTTTATCATGTAGTCTTTTTTTTTTTTTTTTTTTACAGTAGGTCCTTGTTAGTTATCTATTTTAAGTATAGCAATGTGAACATGTCCATCCCAAACTCCCAATCTATCCCTCCCCCCCACCCCTCCATCCCGGTAACTCTACGTTCGTTCTCTAAGTCTGTGAGTCTATTTCTGTTTTGTAAATAAGTTTATTTGTATCATTTTTTTTTAAGATTCCACATCTAAGCGATATCATATGATATATGTCTTTCTCTCCATATATTTTTAATACAATTTTTTAAGGGTTACACTCCATTTACTTCCTGTTTTAATTTTATCATTTGAGAAATTTGCGGTTGTTTTCAACCGTAGTGCTTTCATCCACTGAATGGGAGCTAAATAACACTATTTGCAGTGTCTGCTGCTGACCTAGGCCAACGGCTGGTAAAGAAAATTTCAGAGAATAACTAACTACATGTACACCTCCACCTTAGCCCCATCTTCTTAGAATAATAATTCTTATTGTTTGTATATTACAGTTTTCATCTCTTTTGACCTCAACACAGATATACCAAGTACCTACCATGAATCAAAGCACTGAGGATATCACCTTGAACAAGACGAGAAACGTGGCCCTCGAGGAACTTACAATCTTTGGAAGGATGCAGTCAGATAAATTGGAAATCACCATGTTAAGGGAGAAGTTTCTTGAAAGAGATACGTCAGATGCTAGGGGAGCCCGTAAGCGGTCTGAGGGAAGCTGAAGGGTGGAATGGCCAGGAGGTAACAAGGGGAAGAAGCTTCCACAGGAAAAAAATCTACACACAAGACTTTCGTGCTCTCAAGAAATGGAAAGACATTTACTGTGGCTGTCGGAGAATCAGGGTGGGGGATTTGGAAAGAGCCTGCTGGCTGCAGAGGGAGACGGGACCTCTGGTTTGAAGTTTGGAGCTCAGTCCCCATCACGGAAGGGCTTTTGTCCCTCCTGTGTCCAGTGCGGGGGAGTAGACACCTTTGGGCGAGTCACCATCAAATGCCCAGAGGTGGGTGCATCCTTCCTTCCTGACCCAGGGAGGGCCTGGCCGCCCACAATGCTGACCACCTATCCGTGTGGACAGGGTGGGCTCTGAGGCCGGAAGCCAGGAATGAGTGGGAAGCGGGGAAAGGTGTGACCCAGGAAGAGGTTTGACACTTTCTGAACAAAGGCCCTTTGTTCAGGCCCTTTGTATGGTCTGGAGGGTGGAGGAGAAAGATGAGCCGGCCTGGCCGGACCCAAGTGGGTTCTGAGTGTGAAGTCCGCACACGAGGGGATGCCAACTTGCCTGGGGACAGAGAGCGCGGAGCCTACAGCGAGGGAGTCTGCAAAGCTCTGGCTGAAGCCTGCTGTCCAGAAATGTATACTTTGAAAAAGTGACCATCTGGGGAGGTCTTAGGCCTTTCTCTGGTCATTCTTCACTCCTTACAGGGCTCTGAGGAGTAGGCAGAGTAGGAGAACAAGAGAGAGGTCATTGCCCCAAACTCTTGTTACGTGTATGGATACCCAGACCCTTGAGATGTAGGATAACTTCCCTGTGCCCCATAATCCTTTTTTTAATTCTAATTTTATTTTTCTTGGCTGCACCATGTGCATGGCATGTGGGATCTTAGTTCTCCGACCAGGGATTGAACCCGTACCCCCTGCAGTGACAGTGCAGAGTTCTAACCATTGGACCACCAGGGAAGTCCCTGTGGCCCATAACCCTTTGCCCAAGTCTCAGTCACAGCAATGGCTGCACTGAACAGCACCTTGATCTGTTTAGATTCCTTTATGAGTTCTCAAGGGCAGGGGCCCCATCTTTGTCTACCTAGCACCTGTCACAAAAGTTTAATTAATGTTGCAGTAAATACACGTGGCAGAAAAATGCTTTACAAATGTGAGGGGCTATTGTGATGGTTGGTGAGTGGATTCTCCACCGTGGGACCCTCGAGTCCCATCGTTGGATACTTTCCCCTTTCACCTTCTGTCTGATTCCTCACATCACTGCCCAGTCCAAAAGCGACAATGGTTCAATGTGTTGTGCTGTGAAAATTTCCACTTAACTACCTGGGGATTTTTGTTTCAGCCCCAAAGAGTGTCAAGGTGAGCGTCCGAGCCTTGGCAGGACTATAGTGGGGGATTCAGTCCTGTAAATCTCGCCACCATGCCTACCCTCGCTCCCCAAGGAATGGCGGTGCCAGCACTACCCAGTCTCTGACCATCTCAGTTCAGGGATGCTGTCTCCCCGGCATGCTCACCTGCGGGCCTGTGATCTCCCGCTGTAACCTCACAGCAGCCCCCATTGCCTTGGAATAAAGGCCAGGGCCTCTGCCTCAAAACACTCCTAAAGAAAATGCTCCAGGACCATGGAAACCCAGTGTTCCAACCTCTTGTCCCACCTTCCGCCCCAAGTCTACACTCCGGGTCCCTCCAGCATCTATGAGGTGATAGGTTACCTGGGCACATTAGGCCCTTGGATTAGGACGGAGGGGCGGCATCGTGCCTCTGGCTTTGCCCTCAACTGGCTGCATGACCTTGGTCTCTGCGCCTTGCACGTCTCCCGAGGGTAACCGGAGAAGAGAGACAGTCGGTTGGTAAAGCTTCTGCTTGTGATTCTCGTCCCTTTCTCACTGATTCCTCATCCTTCCACCTGTTCTGGAACCCTACTCCATACACCATCCTCCCACGTCTTTTATATGAGTTACGTCTCCCTTTTGACCAGGTCCATCCTCTGGACCTACAAACACAATTAAATCTACTTATGCTGCCTCCCCAGCCCCTGCTTACAAAACAAAATAAAACGAAACAAAACAAAACCTCCCCTTGACTATGAAACTTTTCCTTCCTATTGTTTTCAACCAAATTTCTCAATAAGTAGTCATACTTGACTGTTCCCATTTCCTTCCTTTCCTCCCTTGCTGTTCAGGGGTCACCTCACGACATGCCTCATGCTTAGCAGGTGCTCAGATGCTAGGAACTAGGTGGACGGCAGGTGGTGGAGGGTGCTAAGTTCTCCCTCTTAAAGAGGCGTCCATACAAGGCTCGGTCCTTGGTCCCGGTTCCTCGTGTTTCTCTTTAATGCAGTTCTCTTCCGTCATTTGTTCTGTGATATCTATTTTTTTGCCAGGCTTCTCTCAGATCCCAGTGCTGTGCTCACCCTACACCATCATCCATGGTGATCCCACCTACTCTTACTGTTTCACTTACCACCCCTGTACTGATGGCATCGTGGGCATCTAGGTATCTCCAGCCCAGATCTTTCCTCCGTTTTTTTTTGTTTTTTTTGTTTTTTTTTGCAGTACACGGGCCTCTCCTTCTGCGGAGCACAGGCTCCGGACGTGCAGGCTCAGCGGCCATGGCTTACGGACCCAGCTGCTCTGCGGCATGTGGGATCCTCCCGGGCCGGGGCACGAACCCGTGTCCCCTGCATCGGCAGGCGGACTCTCAACCACTGCGCCACCAGGGAAGGAAGCCCTTTCCTCCGTTTTTATATTCAACTTCCTATCGGAAACCTCCAGGTGATAGAGGCACCTCCTCTAGGGTTGTCTTGGTTGGTCATGACACCAGCTGCCACGCAAGCATAAAACCTGCCCTTCAGCTCCATCGCATGCCACCTTCCACCACACTCCCTGCTCCACTCCCTCACGGGCCTTGTGCATGACCTTGGAGCTATTGGTGCACCCTCCTGCTCTGGGGCCTTTGCACATGCTGTTCCCTCTGCCTGGCTTCTTTATCTCTGAAACCCTAATATCTGGTATAATGCTTGACGCACAGTAGGTACCCACGAAACGCTTGTTGATTACTGGAAGGAAGGAAGGAAGGAGGAAACGGAGGGAAGAGAGGGAGGGAAGGAGGAAAGAAAGCAGGTCCAAAGCGAGCTGAGTGAAGCCCACACATTCTTTGCCCTCAATAGAATTCTGTCTCTTTCAAAGACATAAACTCTTAGACATGAGTTGTTTAAAAAAAAAAACGGAGTCCAGACATCATGGCACAGGAAAAGAATTCTGTCTCTTTCAAAGACATAAACTCTTAGACATGAGTTGTTTAAAAAAAAAAAAAGGAGTCCAGACATCATGGCACAGGAAAAGAGAGGTTTGCCTTCCTTCTGCAAGAGCCATGGGATGAATGCAGGGGCCTTCCTGTTGGCTTTTACATCCAACCTTCAAGGTCAACATTAAATGTGTGACACTTGTCGGGCTCACACCTTTGCAGGGAGCATTACAGCCCACACACTGCCTTGTTGATCAGGCAGGAGAACTCTGTGAGATAGGTGCTACTGTCCCCAGTTTACACTGATGAGAAAACTGTCACCAACTTGAGTCTTCGGATTCTAAGTTGGGAAGCCTTTTCCTTCTAACCCTGGCTGTGGAGGGTTATGGAGAACGATAAGGAATTTTTAGCTCCGGTGGCGAGATTTCAGCACGCACCAAGGGAAAGAATCACGAGAGACAGCTCCAGCTAGGGAGGACCTAAGTTTAGTAGCAAAAGCTATCCCACTGGGGAACTCGGACATCCCAGACTCAGAGGCCCACTTGACAAATTTCTGACTCAGGGCTGCAGGGTGATGCAACCCCTTGATGTCTGTCAGGGTCCTATCAGTAAAAAGATTTGCTACCCCAGATCCCACTGCCACGGAGCTCAGCACTGTGTTCTGGGTTCAAGGCCAAGTACACGACCAAGCCAGTCTTGGAATCCTGTTTCTTCAGACCTTTAAGTAGAGCATCAGTCAGGGGCTAGTCAGAAAACACAAACCTGTTTCTAGGTATTTCAACAGAGAGGTTTTAATGGAGGGACTTGCTTTTCTAGGCGTTGGAGGCTGTAAGAGTGCAGAGGAGCACTGTGGTAACCCTGAGACAGTAACTGTGGAAGAAGCCACCATTCGTAGGACTGGGGAAGAAAAGGAAGAGGCTGGAGTCATCAGAACTTTGACATTAGGAGGAGGGGCCCAGGGAGCTGGGGCTTGGACCTCCGAGGTGATGGCACCTCCTGGCTGCTGCTGGTCTGTCTGAGGGGCGCAGGAGGCTGGTTCCGGGACTGCTGGTCTCTGGATCACCTGCTGCTGACGCAACGTTGACAAGAACCACATGCAACAAGAGAAAGGCCCTGTACCATCCTGCAGCCTTCTACCCCCTGTCACATGGCCCGCTTGTCAGTCCCTCATAGCAGCCCAAACTGTTAGGCAGCTTGCAGATCTGTCCTCTCGCCCCGATGAGTGGCTGAGGTTCATCTACTCATTTATTTTCATGCACTGAATCTGTGTACGTAAAGGTTAGCAGAGTAGGCTCAGGAGACAGACTGCTGACATTCAAACCCCTGTTCCACCTCTGAATTTGGCATGGACTTCACCTCTCTCCGCCTCTCCTCCTAGGTGTGTTGTGTGATCTATGTAACACAATGCCCATATAGCACTCAGACCAACATTCTCCATTACCACCTGACCATCACTGATCCCCTGCCAGGCATGGCTCCAGGCTCCGGGGATACCTAGGGATCAAGACAGGTGGGTCTCCTCCCTCTTGGATGTTATAGTTTTCTGGGAATGGTTTCAATGTAATGAGCTTACTTTCTCAGCAAGTGACAGAGCTCTCCCACCCCATCTACCCTATCTTCCTGCCTGGATCATTTTCTGCTCTTTCTCTTCCAAAATCCTTAGTGATGAGCAAAGGGCAAGGTTCTGGAATGCCCTGAGGGGCAGGAAGTAATCCCAGTTCCTCTCTCCCCTCCTGGGTTCCCTGCTAGGTGCTTATTCACTGATTCCTGGGCTTGTTCTTATAGATTTGTTCTCCCGGCCTGTTGGCCACTGTCCCTCTTGTGGGGCCTCCATGCACTTTAATTCAGCCCAAGAGGCCCCCAGGTTGTGAGACCATGAGGACCAGCTTCCAGCCTCCTACACTCTGAAGTTCTGGCAGGTCTGAGGGTCCCCCAGAGCCCCTGGAATAATAGGTAAGAAGTCTGGCTTCTTTGCATGCTCTTGCCTTAGATCAGCCCAGAGGGTAGGAGGGTTCAGCCCTATTTTTTCATGTCCAACAGGTAGAGAGGGCTGGCAGGGACAGAGGGAAGGAGACAGAGGGGGGATAAGGCGGGTTCCTCTGGATTAGTCTCTAGGTGGGAAAGAACCAAACTTGGCTGGTATTTTTCCAAGATTGGACTTAAAAAAAAGAGGAAAGAGGGGAAGGAGGAAGGGAGGAAGGGCTACTTTCTGTATTCACCCCCCTTCTCCCAGGAGTCAACGCTTCCGAACAAGACTGACAGCCAGCATGGTGGGAGGGGCTCACTCTGGAGCCAGGCTGAGCTCTCTAAGTGCGTCTTCTCATTCAGTTCTCCTAACAGCACATTAGCCCCATTTTACAGATGGAGAGATGAGAGTAGACTGTCTGTAACTTTGCCCAAGGCTGCACTGGGGCAGAATTGAGACTCAAGCTGAGGGCTCCCGGATACCCCAGCACTGCCCCTGGCAACGTGTGGTTATTCCGGATGGACAGTCAGACCCTTCTCTGAGGGCAAATGTGTCTTCACATCACCTACCAAGCATGGGTGCGTTGCAAAGCCCACTTCAGAAGCCCCTCTGGGTTTTCATTTGGTTGGGGCTGAATTTTTCCTTTTTTATGATTTTCTTTAGCCAGAGAATGAACGGAATTACATTATATTTCTCCCCCCTTCCACGTTGGTTTATCCTCCTCCATTCTCTCGATTTCTACCCATCCGCACTCCCTTTCTGCTCAGTCTTTGCTGCTTGGGTGTTTCCTCCTCTGTCCTCAGTCTCCTCCCGTTGCCTTGCTAGCTTTTATTTCCAAGCTTGCTGATGGCCCCTGCTCTTCTCAGCCCCTTCCCCAGTCCCCTCCACTTCTGTCCAAGACAGCAGACCCCTCCCCTGCACCTCTGTCCCACCCACTCACCCTGAGTTTTCCCTCCTCTCTACCTTCTCCCCGCCCCCGCCCCTCACTCCTTTGGCTGATCGCCCCTCCCTGCATCCCTGCATCGTCCTTATCGTCGCCTGCATGACTGCTCTGGTTCTTTATCCCATCTTCCCCTCAAAGGCATTCGCAGCTCGGCTGTTATTCTTGTATTAGCACTGAACCCATTAAAGCTAATTTGTTTGCCCTAATCTCCATTTATTTTTCCCTAGTTGATATTAGATTTCCCTCTCTATTGCTCCAGCATGATTTTCTCTTTGTCTTCCTAACGGGCCCCCCCCACCTCCTCT